AACATTTAATGACAAATTTAATTTGTACCACTGTGGTTGAGGTCAAGAAAAATATTCATGACACAGTTATAATGACCTCATGACAGCCAATGTCAAAACCAAACACATGACGGTTTACTGTAATGTTAACCCATAAAGCTAAGTGGTTTCTTAAGTTTGATAATTAATCTGCTATGTCATGTTTATGACATATTTATGACAATTTATGTTGTCTTGGTAATTTCAAATTGTCATTACCAAGACACTGACAGGTTATGATGTATTGTTTATGTCAAATTGTCATAACAAAGACATCTCAAACAATGTCATATTTGCATTAAAAATGTCATAATTGAGCAAATGACACTTAATGACAGTTGTCATAAACATCCATAAAAATGTGTCATGTCATGATTATGAAAGTGTCATGTCAGTCTTATACACACCCCTTTAAGTAAAGTGTTACCGAATCTTCTTTAATTGCTTTTATAACACTGAATTGATATAAGGTAGGGCTGGGCGATATGATCAAAATCTCGATATAGTACCTTTTCTGTAAATTCAATCAATTAATAGTTTAAATATATATATATATATATATATATGTATATATATTGACCACATGGAAAGGACTATTTCTTTTATACATTTTAAAGTATATACTCAAAATGTTTAGTTAAGAATGTAGAAATATAAAATATGATTGAAGATAAAACACTTTTCAAAAACAAATGATTACAGGCCCAACATAAAATATTGAAATATTAAAGGGCAAATGTAAACATTGTGCTTTCAAGTTTAAAATGTAGCAGCAATCAGGGCTCCTATGAAATTAAATGAAATTTGGACAGGAACATAATCAGAAACGGAAACAAAATCGAATAGAAACGCTTATTTGAAATGGCCATTAACCAGTTAATAATGCTATTTTATCGTTCTGTTTAATATTTTAATTTGGCAGTCAACCAATCACGAATTCAAATAGTAGCTACAGACTATGCAAATGTAATATTGACGCATAGCCTATCCAACGTGAGTGAAATGCCCTCGCTCAGCTGTCAAGTCACCATGGGGAAGTCTTATGCGCTGGCCTTAGTTTTTCCGAGGATATATAGGTCACCAACTGTCAAACAATTAGGCCTACATTTTCACTGAAATGAAATGCAGGTAATATGCAGCTTGTTGTGCGTTTTGAAACCAGTGAAAATGGCAGGATAGTGTAGAACATGGATTCACACAACGTCACATCACGCACTTAAAGCCCTTCTGTGAATGGAGAAAACAGAATAAAACTAATATATAGGCCTATACGTGAAATATATTTTATTTAAATAATTACAGATTAACAAAACGAAAGGAAAAATTTTGCTGTTTCGGTTCATTGTGACTGGCTCCAAAGTTCACAGAAAGGAAACCGAGATGGCAGAAAATGGCATCCTGCTAGTTTTCTGTATTTTACAAAAGCGTTACGGTTTTGAATCATGTCTTGTTTCTATCCGTATGACCATAAATTACGGAGTAATAACAGGTTCCTCAGAATGACAAAAATTCCTGTGGCCGCGCCTCACGCGCACACACAACATTTTCTAGCATTGCTAACATCGCAGCCTGTTCATTATCAAAATGAAATAGTCAACCAAACATATAGAAAGTTAGACTGCTCAATTTAAATAGTCCGTAGTACAATCTGTACCGTGCAGCGTGACCACCGCCTCACTGTGCTGTTATATATGTGAAGCATGATGTTTTACGTCGGTGTTTGAGCCTGTTGTGGGAACCGTCGTCCGACAAAGTACAGTTTTTTGGTCCGTGTCAGACTTTTCATAACCAAACCATGTCCATGCTACAGATGTAGCCCCTCGTTTAGGAACGAGCTCCTCGAATTGTCCTGGCTGGTCCTTCTCCTGCTCGGAGCCACTCGCTTCTGTCTCCCCTTCACTCGCCATGCTGTTATTCACGTTTCTGCCTGCATCCCCATGGTGGCGTGTAAGATTGCAGTCATCCAAATTATGAAAAAGTATTGCCGTAAACAATGTATTTTGCGACACCACGAAATTAAAGGCACACTGTGGAATTTTTGGCCACTAGGGTGCGCTCGACCTGTAATTTTCACGTCTAGTGCCCCTAGAGGCCACAAGAGCCGCAGCATTGTCGCAAAAGTCAATAAACAGTCAACCGGTCAACCTCCCGTGTCTTTATGTGTGTGCAGACGGCATTTGATTTGTATGTTGGAGAAAGTTAATCAATTCACTACTGACCAAAATAATAATATAAATATAAGATTAATAATATAAATCCTATAAAGAAAACAAATTGAATAAAAGTAGCATACGCAGAAAACAATGTCTGATCAGGTAAGTCGCATTGACAAGGGTTGCCCAATCCTGCTCCTGCCGATCGTCTGTCCTGCACAGTTCATCTCCAACCCTAATCAAACACACCTGAAGCAAACAATTAACGTCTTCAGGATCTCTTTGCAATGGGTTGGAGATGAAATCGAGTAGTCGGGAAATCGTGTAACAAAACTGATATAACTCACTACATATTTCCGTTATTTGTAGTCTTCAGTTTGTTTTTCCTTTTACACAAATACAAACATATATGAGCTGAAAGGAAAAAAAACATTTACATTTGTATACGGCAGTATGTTGTGACTTATATCAGTTTTGTTACACGAATTCGCAGTAAATATTACATTATATATACACTTTTATGCCGATGTTTATTTTAAACTCTCCCTTTTTCTTTTTTTGGTCTCCTCTGACAAAATCTTTGCTTTCTTCGCTTTCTTCCGAGTAGCTGTTGATTCAGCCATGACGACAACATACAGACGCCGGCAATCAAACGCGAGTTGAGCTCTCACGTTAGAATTTGAGGAAGTTGGGGTGGTGGGGGAAGTGACGTATGCCGTAAAGCGGTCGAATTTTGTAGTTCTTTTTGTGCTCGGGTTCCTACCCGAAACCCGAAGTTACATAGTGCTAGTAAAAGCGATACAGACACCTTCAGGCTTCGGCAGACGTGTGATTCAACCTATTGTAAGTCGATGTACCATCTCAATGGGTTTTGGTAATATATTATAAAGGTTGAAAAGTTCCACAGTGTGCCTTTAACGATGGAACATAATATGAAACGATAGACTTTTTATTTCATCCGTCTGATATATATTGCCATATCGCACAGCCCTAGGTGAGGGATGTCCTTAAAAAGTTGGGCTGACACACCATTCCTGCATCCTACATTGACAGCTGCTCCATCACTGCCAAATCGCACCAGCCTGTGCTTCCAGTCCAAAATATCTGCTTCTTTAAGTGCTTTTTAAGAAACACAAAAATAGACATGAGAAAATAAGTAAGATTAAGAGTTAATAAGTGAGCAAAGGAGGAGGATCCAACCTGGTGACAGAGACAATTAGGTTAAAATGACACCCATACATTACCTGTATAAATGGCATTCAGAATTCCAGCAGCAGTTCCCTGTTTTACATCCTGAATAGAGAGGTAGGTATTTACTGGCCCTTTTTCTGCCAGGACGCGGACATATATCAGCTAATTTTCAGTTGTTCCTGCATCAGTTGCCCCATCAATCATAATGGAGAAATAATTGGTCGTCTTCCAAGTCTCCATTAGTTTTTCCCTCTCCATGTCATATATGATGCTAATGAAGCTGTAAAAAGAGCAAACATATTCTGTTTATTCTCCGATTGAAAAAAAAAAAAGTAGTTTACATTTGTTGGTGATAAAGGCATACACACCTAGCACACGCTTTGTATCTGATCTCACCATCATCAAGTCTGTCTGTGATTTACACAAAGAAACAGAAAAGACTGAGACAGACTAAATCCAGAAGAACTGTAACAACGTCTCTAATGTCGAGCCCTGATCTGCATAAAAGTGTACATTTACTGTCTCTAATCCTATGCCAAGTTATAGATAGAAAATAAAATTGGTCCCAAAATTGATCATTGAGGAACACCTGTCTTCACTATTAAATGAGTAGAAATATAATTATCTATAGACATACACTGAATTCTTCCAGTCAAATAATTGTTGTTAAATAAACCTAATGTAGGCCTACCTGAAACCCTAAACCCCCTGATTTAAACTTGGCGTTAAAATGACACTTACTTTTTATGTAGCTAATGCTACAGTAGGACACTGGTGTTCACTTTCAGAAGTTGTAGGGTTGCTTTCTTCTCACAAAAAGAATGTGAAACATGTATGTTGCTTATATCATTTTCAGTTTTAAAATATCATTTACATTTATTTTACACACTTAAAATATCTGATCGAACATTACATTTTGTAACGAGTTATCGCATATTCTTCAATATCGTGCATTCCTAGTGTCGTTCCTTGGTGCTCGATTTGTGCCATTACAAGAAACCCTGTACTGTAACTACCCTTCTTAACTAATAACCCCACTGTCTCCACACATAAATTGGGAATCAAACCCATGACTGTTTGATTCCCAATATGAATGACATGATTAATGTTATTAGGCCCAATAAGTGAACTAGGGCCTACTCACGCCTACAAGAAGCTGCCTCTCTAATTGCTTGTGCTTGTGATAATTTATTGGATCCGTGCAGCTCTTAAAGTGACAGCAGCCTAATAAACCTGCTTCCGTCTGTGTGCTTAATGTTAATCAAACAACAATAGATAATCAGAAAATTACTCACTGCTCTTGACGGAATAACTTTTGCAGCTTTAAAAATCTGTGTATATTTAATTCATACAGTAAAAAAAAAAAGACCTTGGCATTACAAGTGTATAATGTGTAACTTTGTCAATGAGTGAATGTTAATTTCCAGTATGAATAGCTCCATAGGATTAGAGTTCTCTAGCACATGTTTACAAGCCATTTCAAAGGCTTGTAAACATGTGCTAAAGACATTTATTGTTATTGATGTCCAGCCTGCAACATAGGTGCTATGAACTGCAGTGGAAGTTGCAAAAAATGAATGGCTGTATTTAAAATAGGTTTGCATGAAAACTTCAGGTGAAATTGTTTTTGTATTTCAGGAAGTATTTCCAGTCGAATATGGTCCTGACTTTGATAAAGCACTGCAAGTCCTTGTTGGCTTTTTCCTCTCCAGATTGGAGCAACTTCTGCCTGTACCAAACTTCAAACAGGTCTGATGATACACGCTTATCATATCTGAATGATTCAGGCCAGCTACTTAGTTATACAGAATTTTTTTGTGTTTGTAATGTGTGAAACTTGATTTTCTTTCATTTCAGCTTTCACTGTTGCTCAGCTGTCTCCCTGGGGAACTAGATGCATGTGTGGACTCTGTTTGTAAATCAGACAATTTGCTATCCTTGCTACAAACAGATGTTTGTGGGACTTTGGAAAAAAATGGTAAAATCTAGTGCTTGAATATTAGTTTTAGGTTGAACTTGGCTTGCTTGGTTAATCAGATATGTTAGAGAATTGTTTGACACAAACCTGAGATCTCTACTTCGTCCAGCAAGCAGGTTTGAAAATTTAAATTTACTACTGCTTCAATATAGCTGTATAAGCTTTCTAGATAAAAATGGAAAATCACAAATTTATGTTGATATATACAGTGTGTATATATATATATATATATATATACCTGGCTAACCAAGGAAGCCCCAGATAAAGATTAAGACCCAATTCTATTACTAGAAAAATACAGTAATTAAGCACAATTGGTCAATGGCTAATTTTGTTTTCTTATTTTTATTTTGTAAAGTTCTTCCATCAATAGTTGAGGATCGAATGGTTTCATCATTGTCACTGCCGCCTGTTGGCGACTCAGTCATTATAAACCAGCACAATGAGGATGGAAAGTTAATGCCACTTGATTCTAAAAACCTGCCAAACCAACAACATGGTGTGAACAAGGAGACTGTGACAAGTGATCCAAATGTCCAGGATGTGGGATCCAACTCCAGCTGTGAATCATCAGAGTTCTCCAGAGACAGTGATGGAGAAAAGTTAACAAACTCAAATGCTGATGAATTGCAACGGTATGTCACCATATTACTAGGTGTTGGCAGGATGGTCAGCTAGTTATATAACAACCAGCTATTACTGAAGTTAACTAGATTGATTTATTGATTTATTTTAGCTTGAAGGAATAGTGCAAAAATTATTTCTATCACCCTCATGTCTTTTAGATTTGTAAAAAAAAATCTGTATAACACAAAGAAAGATATTTGAAGAATATTTCAGCTGTTTTTGTCCATACAATGAAAGTCACTGGGGTCCAAGGTTCAAGCTCCAAAATCAGCAATATGGCCATTTTGTATGATGAACACAGTGAAATTTAAGTTGTTTGTCACACTCAAATGAAGTCATTTTTCAGTGTTGGTGCTAATGGTGTAGGTGATCATTTTCTGATATGCAATTTCTGAGTGCATCTTGAGCAACAAATTCCCAAAATTCTATAATTTCAAGATGATTACTGTCAGACTGTTGTCAAAATGTCTGCTTTGAGTAATATTCCCCATTTTTAGTCTATTTGTGAGCACATTGCTACGAAATTTGCTCTGTAGTGTTCCTGAATTAAGATAAAATGTTTCATTGTAAAATATCCTGGTTATTCTTTTTTTTAGGAGTAACTCAGAAGAGCCAAGCGTACCGTCATCCACCAATGATGCTCATAGAGGTACAGCCCTTCCGAATATCTGTCAAGATTCTCATTATACCTTTTCATCATCTTTAGACTGAACCACTCTGTTTGTCCCATGTTTTCCTTTAGGCGATTTAATTTTTCAGACCGCTGTGCCACAGCGGCCTGCTGTCGACAACTTCCCAAACACACCTTCTAAAGGCTTCCACTATGCAGGCAGGACCGTACACAAATGTCAGCAGTGCACGAAATACTTCATCTATCGCTCTGATCTTGTCAAGCACCAGGAAATTCACACCCAGGCGGGGACACATGAGTGTCTTCAGTGTGGGCAAGTTTTTGACGATTTGACGCAGCTGGCGGCGCACAAGGGCACCAGCTGCAATACCAGAGTTTTTAAGTGCATCAAATGCACCGCCCACTTTAGATCCCTCAGGACCCTATACAGACATAACAGGGTGCACAAAGAGAAAACCACACACAAATGCCCTGAATGTGGACGGCTGTTCACAAGTCTGTCACGATTAGTCAGTCACCGGCGAGCTCACCGAACTCCCAGTGTTAAAAGGAACTATACCTGTAAACAATGCAACGAGACTTTCGGGTCGTACCGAGCCAGTTTAATCCACCAGAAGACTCATAAAGTTAAAGACGTCCACCAATCTAAACCGGAACGGCAGCCAGGAAAGTGTCGTTTTTGTGATTTGACATTTAGCGTCGACAGCGAATTAAGAAGCCACCTGAAGACGCACGCAGAGTTCAGGCCATATATATGCGACCAGTGTGGGAAGTGCTTTTCGGCAAACAGCAGCCTGCTCGCCCACCTCTCAAACCACACGGGCGAGAAACCTCTCCTTTGTTCGCAATGCGGAAAGCGGTTTTACAGCAAAATCCAATTAAAATCCCACATGAGATGTCATTCTGGTGAGCGGCCGCATGTTTGTCCGTACTGCGAGAAGCAGTTTTCACTATCTGGGAATTTGAAAATCCACATCAGAATTCACACTGGGGAGAAGCCATACGTTTGTCATCAGTGCGGAAAGGGTTTTGTCTCTGCCGGATGCCTGCAGGTGCATCTGCGTTCTCATACGGGAGAGAAGCCGTATCAGTGTAAAATCTGTGGCAAGAAATTTGTGGTTTCGAGTCACCTGACAGCTCACATGTGCTTTCACACCGGAGAGCGTCCACACTGCTGCTTACAGTGTGGGAAACGATTCATCCGGCGCTATGACTTGAGCAAGCACATGTACACTCATATTGGGAAGAGGCCGTTCCCATGTCCTCTGTGCCCAAAGGCTTACACGTGCCGTACACACTTGAACAGGCACATGAAGAGCCACAGTGTTTGACTTAAATCATTTTGTCATCCTGAGTGCCTTGTGTGGGGTGAAAACAACTATGATCTTTAAAGTAATGGTTCAATCAAAAATTTAAATCCTGTCATTATTTACTCACCCTCATGACTAATGTCCATGTCCAAACCTGTTTACACTATACATTTAAAAAAAAAAGAATCATTCCACAGCTCTTTTCCAATTGACAGATCATAATTGACCACATCTTTCAAGCTCTAAAAATGACAAAACGTCTGGAGAGTATCATTATAATCCATACAGTTTATGCATTATATTCCAAGTCTTAAAACAGATGATTACTTTCTGTGAGTAACAAATTGAAATTCAGGTTGTTTATTCAATGATAATATTCCCCTTCTGAACTGTTCAGTCATTGACTTGAGAACTAGATCAGTCTGATTTGTAAACCAAATCATATGGTTTATTAAAAATAATTGTCTTTAAAAAAAAAGAAAAGAAAACCGCTTACTGAAGGTGATGTCACCCTTATGTTGTTCCAAACCTGTTTCTTTCATTGGGGCCCATCAACTGTTTGGTTACTGACATTCTTCAAAATATCTTCTTTTGTGTTCAGCAGAAAAAGAAAATCATACAGTTTTGGAACAACATGAGGGTGTGTAAATGATGAAATTTCCATTTTGGGTGCACTGTCCCTTTAAGTTCCAGTCTGTTTTCCACACAAAACTAAGACTTAAGAAGACTAGCAGACATAAGAGTGAGTAAATAAGTTGGGGTGAACTGTCCCTTTAATTAAAACTTTACAACTCTGTTTCCTTCTAATCTGAGGCTCTGCAGTTGTTTAAGTCATTTGAAGAACAGCTTCAACATTTTCTTGCATTACTAATGTGTAAAACAGTTTCGTGCCATGGATATTTTCTGTAGAAATATAGGTTTGGAGCCCACTGTTAGTTTTCTTTTAGATTTAGTTTTTTCTAAGATCATTTAAGCTAGCATCATCCTCAGTATGCAACTATTAATGTAATGTGCTGAATATTATAGCCTCATACTAAACTAAATAAATATGTCGACAACTTAAAGTGGGAATTAAAAATCTCATAATATTGTGGTGCCGTGTCATTTTTTAAGTATTTTATAATTGCATTTAAATGGTAAAAAAAAAAGATAATAATAAGATAAACAGCTCTGTAGCCTATTTCTATTTGCATACATAAAAAGTAATTCAAGGTAGCAGTGATGTACAGAAAAATCAATAAAAAACAATAAATAAAGGTTTGGCACATTAGGTATGTTTTAAAATGGAGAAAAAGAAGAAAGCAATGGGAGACAAAGAAGCTGATGGACCAGTTGAATGTTGGACCAGCCGTTATGACCTCATCTGGATCCAATGCCCTTTATTACAATTTAATAAAAACAAGCCCTTAACAATTAAAAAAATTGCATATTTAAAAAAAATGTTAATCTGTTGAATTGACAATCATTGTTCGTTCGTTCGTTCATTTTAATTAACTAATTGTAATTTCCAAAAAAATAAACTTTAAATCTTGGGGAAAAACGTTTATCAATAACTACAACTAAAGATTGTTTTAACCCTCATGTGGTGTTCAAAACCCTATAACACCTGTGGTGTTCCCGGTCAAAAATGACCGGGCCATAAAAAAAACCTTATAAATCACTCATTATACCATATTTTCACCCAATCTTGGATTCAATCTTTTTGTCAACATGTTCTCTTTCAATTAGGACTGGTTTTATATTTTGATTTGCATCTGAATAATCATAGGCCTCATTTATTTGAGAGTAGGCATTTCATTTTTTGAGTAATTTTTTTTTTTAATTTTTGAATAATTTTGGAAATATTAAATAAAATCTGAAGAAAATTGGTATTGTTGATCACACTAGTCAACTTAACATTTTCACCAGGAATTTTGTTTTGAAACTTTTGTTTTGTAAAAAATATGGCACATAGTCACACTTGTGGTGTTCCCGGTCAAAAATGACCGCCTATAAAAAATAGCTTATAAGTCACTCATTATACCATATTTTCACCCAATCTTTGATTCAATCTTTTTGTCAACTTGTTCTCTTTCAATTAGGACTGGTTTTATATTTCTGTTTGCATCTGATTAATCGTGGGCCTCATTTGTCTGAGAGTAGGCATCTCATTTTTTGAGTAAAAAACAAATAATTTGAGTAAATTTGGAAATATGAAAAAAAAAAAAAAAAGGCTACTGTTGATCACACTTGTCTACTCTAATGTTTCACCAGGAATTTTGTTTTGAAACTTTTGTTTTGTAAAAAATATGACACAGTCACACTTGTGGTGTTCCCGGTCAAAAATGACCGGCCTATAAAAAATAGCTTATAAGTCACTCATTATACCATATTTTCACCCAATCTTGGATTCAATCTTTTTGGCAACTTGTTCTCTTTCAATTAGGACTGGTTTTATATTTCTGTTTGCATCTGAATAATCGTGGGCCTCATTCATCTGAGAGTAGGCATGGTCAAAAATGGTCACAATGGCCGACCATTGAAAGTGAATGGGAGAGACTGAAAATAACAGAACAATTTAGTTTTCAGGAGCATGTTCATTATTTTCATGTACACATATGAGCATGTGTGCTTGCAAACATCGAGCCCTTGGACCTGTGCATGTATCGATACATTTATACACACGCTACCCAGACACACACATGTTAAAACACACAAACTTTTTAAAATATTACACACATTCTTTTCCACAGAGAGAAATTTGATCCTACCCTAACCTGCATCTAATATACATTTATCCATCTGACATTACCACACACACACACACACACACACACACACACACACACACACACACACACACACACACACACACACAGGCCGTGATCAGATTTTTGACTCAGAAACTAGTGAGGAGGAGGAAATTCAGGATGCATCTTGCAGTGAAGATGTTTCTGAAGAGGAAGGCACCACTGAATCGGCTACGGAGCTTGAAACAACTGATGAGGAGCAGTCTTCCAGTGATGAGGGCCCAGCTGAGGTTACCGTTTCATTCTGGTCAAAAGATGGAACTTTGTCCTGGCCTTCATCCCCACCTATGAGGCAAGGCAGGTTTTCTTCTGAAGGCCTTCCTCTTCAGAAACATCTTCACTGCAAGATGCATCCTGCATGTCCTCCTCCTCACTAGTTTCTGAGTCAAAAATCTGATGAATAACATCATGTGCAGAGCTGTTTTACCATTGTGCTGCCACAAATGAATGACAAGCAAGGTGCTGTGAGGCATTTTATATATGCCTGTGCTATCACATGATGTATATTTGTAAATATTGTCTAGTTCTGTGTGAGAACCTCACAGTTCCAAAACAAAATGTCATAATATTTTGTCTGGAAGCTGTGATGAAACAAGACCATGAAAGAAAGATTATTTTGAAGCCGGGTCACTGCAGTCACGGCCAGTTTGTGTGTGTGTGTGTGTGTGTGTGTGTGTGTGTGTGTGTGTGTGTGTGTGTGTGGTAATGTCAGATGGATAAATGTATATTAGATGCAGGTTAGGGTAGGATCAAATTTCTCTCTGTGGAAAAGAATGTGTGTAATACTCAAAAAAGTTTGTGTGTTTTGACGTGTGTGTGTCTGGGTAGCGTGTGTATAAATGTATCGATACATGCACAGGTCCAAGGGCTCAATGTTTGCAAGCACACATGCTCATATGTGTACATGAAAATAATGAAAATGCTCCTGAAAACTAAATTGTTCTGTTATTTTCAGTCTCTCCCATTCACTTTCAATGGTCGGCCATTGTGACCATTTTTGACCATGCCTACTCTCAGATAAATGAGGCCCACGATTAATCGGATGCAAACAGAAATATAAAACCAGTCCTAATTGAAAGAGAACAAGTTGACAAAAAGATTGAATCCAAGATTGGGTGAAAATATGGTATTATGAGTGATTTATAAGCTATTTTTTATAGGCCGGTCATTTTTGACCGGGAACACCACAAGTGTGACTATGTGCCATATTTTTTACAAAACAAAAGTTTTAAAATAAAATTCCTGGTGAAACATTAGAGTAGACAAGTGTGATTAACAGTAGCCATTTTTTTTCATATTTTTTTTTCATATTTCCAAATTTACTCATAAATTATTTGTTTTTTACTCAAAAAATTAGATGCCCACTCTCAGATAAATGAGGCCCACGATTAATCAGATGCAAACAGAAATATAAAACCAGTCCTAATTGAAAGAGAACAAGTTGACAAAAAGATTGAATCCAAGATTGGGTGAAAATATGGTATAATGAATGATTTATAAGCTATTTTTTATAGGCCGGTCATTTTTGACCGGGAACACCACAAGTGTGACTATGTGCCATATTTTTTACAAAACAAAAGTTTCAAAACAAAATTCCTGGTGAAACATTAGAGTAGACTAGTGTGATCAACCGTAGCCATTTTTTTCATATTTTTTTTTCATATTTCCAAATTTACTCATAAATTATTTGTTTTTTACTCAAAAAATGAGATGCCTACTCTCAGACAAATGAGGCCCACGATTAATCAGATTCAAACAGAAATATAAAACCAGTCCTAATTGAAAGAGAACAAGTTGACAAAAAGATTGAATCCAAGATTGGGTGAAAATATGGTATAATGAGTGACTTATAAGCTATTTTTTATAGGCCGGTCATTTTTGACCGGGAACACCACAAGTGTAACAAGGTAACAATACTCCCACAAAAAAATAAGAAAATTTTCAAAAAAACACTGAGATTTAGTTATACCGTTTGGGAACAAAGTCACTAAGTTTCAGTCCAAAGCGACAACATTAACTAGTATTTTCGGGAAAAAGAAAATCTTCTCCGGGTCAAATTGACCCGAACACCACATGAGGGTTGGTGTGTTAGCTCACAAAAACAATGTCAGATGCTGTTATCTGCTCTAGCCCTTCTCTGCATATTGTTGTGAACTGAATTTCTTCTAAAGTGTAGGAAACTCAGAAGCGAAGACCAGGAGACTCGGGTGTATCTTTTTAAGCAGGATTCTTTATTGCTGTTGCTGTAGTCTGCTTTGTCCAAAAATCTTACCCAAGTCTGACTAAACTAAAATACAGACTGTTCATATACCTTACAAGGGGGAGGAGTTACATAAGGGTGGAGACACTCTGAAACAAAGCATGTACATGAAGCACAGGATTCAGCTCGTTAATGGAAATTCCCCGGCCCTGATCTCATCAGCATAACAGTGTCATGTATAGATGGTAATCCAATCAGCCTGATTGTATCACCCATACCTTCACATTATCATAGAGCTTAATGGCGAGGAGTTACATCGAGGGGGAGACACTCTGAAACAAAGCATGTAAGTGAAGTATACAGGTTTAGGAACCTGCTCTTAGTGTTACCAATCCTAATCCAATCAGCATAACTATTCAAACTGAGCCAGGGGCTCTACCCAGAGCCATTAAAGACAAAGAGTCTCAGTAATCTGATTCATTTAACTTACAATAGAGAGACCAGGACTGGCAGAATCTCTTGCTCATTTATACTTAACTTAGAGACTGTGTCTGTTCTGCAAAATGCTTGTTAGCTCGTCTGAACAAGAAAAATAGATAATGGAAAAAAAAATCAAGATAATTATTTTCTAAAGTTTGAGCTTCTGAATAATAAATCACTTTCATCTAAATCACTAATTGTAAAAGAAATGATTACTAATCATAAATTCGATGCACTCTGTCTGACAGAAACCTGGCTTAAATCAGATAAATATATTAGTTTAAATGAGTCTATCCCCCAGGGCATTGCTATAAACACGAGCCCTGCTTTGTTCTTGCTACAGTATACAGGGGTGTAATCTGCTGATGGGGTGTAATCTGCTGATTGGTCAGTTTTAATGTCTCACATTTGGTTTTAGTCGCATGGTCAAGGAAGGGATGGAAGAAGATTGTAACTGTTGTTGATTTCTTGGGACTCTGCTCTTCCTCTCTACCTGAGCTCTGCCTTCCTGGAAAACTGGGTTAAAGCCGTAGGCCAAACTGAATTCCCCATTGGCACTCTCTCTCTCTGGCTTTCTCAGGTAACATTCTACACACATCCTGGGTACAATTTACTGT